TTTACCCTTTTACTGAATTATATGATTTTATAACGACAATATAACGAATTCTGTGGATAATATTTAATAATTGAAATTATTTTATTCATTATTAAAAATAAGAGTATAATATTATGAATAATTATCTTAAAAATGAATATGCTCTTTTTTATATCAACTTAAATTGTATGATGCCAAAATAAGTCATTGGGATTTTAGAAAACCTTTTTTAAACATTTATTTTATTTATATTTATAATTTTTCTATAGTTATAATTTATATTTCACCATAAAATGTATTCTAAATCCAATCATACCCCACCAATTTTGAATTTGACGTTAATAAGACCTATTTCCTCTGACTTGTATTATAATTTTACATTTATTATATTATTTAAAATGATTCTGTATAATTCATAGATGCCAAAATTTAATACAAGTTGAGGGAGACATATCGGGAGTCGACGTCGATGTCAGACAATGAAGATATGTTGCATACCCTTTACGATGATTCTCCTTCAACTTAATCAACTCCAACATTTAATAATCTTCGAGTCGATATAGAAGATCTAGAAAATAATGATTATTATCATCCAAAATAATATGAAATGGGGAGCAGGTGATATCCATCAATTGGACATATTTTCCACTTCAACCAATATATTAACTCCATATCAATACTTTAAATTATTTATTTCAGATCTAAATAATATATGTGAAAAAAGTAATTTATACGGTATTGTAAATATTTTAAGATTTATGCGGGAAAGCAAACTAATTCACCACCATCAAAATTAGAGATAAGTGGTGATATATTCCTCCAATTGGCCAAAAATATCCCGAATTTCAAAATTATAAACTTTTTTGATAACTAATTACTTCAATAACATTGGCTAAACAATTAAAAGAAATCGGGTAGGGGCTATTAGAAGTAATCGGATGAAGGATTGTAAGTTAAAATGCGATAGACTTAAAAAAAGAAGGTCGCGGCAGCTATGTATGTAAAAGTTGATATAAAGCAGGGATGTGAACCCGGACCCGGAACCCTCCTGGACCCTCGTATTTTGGCTGAACCCGGACCCTTTTAAAAAGTGAATTTTTAAAAAATAATATAAAATTTTTATAATTTAATTAATTTTTAAAAAATAATGTAAAATTTTTATAATTTAATTTTCATTTTTAAAAAATAATGTAAAATTTTTATAATTTTATTATTTTTTTTCGTGGAATCTCCCTAAAAAATAGTCACTTTAAAACTATAATTGATAAAGCAAGGGATGTTGTAAAATATTTCAGAACTCCCACAATTGTTAGAATATTAAAATCCATGAAAAGGTAAATGGCAATTTTAGATTGCACAACACGTTGGTCCTCTATGTGTATGACGCTAGAGCGATTATTAAGTTTGAAAGATTTCTGTAATGATTTTATCATAGGAGCATGTGTAATCATTTCTTCAGAAGATGATTGGAATCAAGTAAAAGAGCTTACTAGTGTGCTGGTTCCTTTAAAAATAACAACATTAAGAGTGCAAGCTGAACAATTATGTTTATCGGATTTTTATGGCATATGGTTAAAATGTCGATTAGAGTTAGGGAGATTAACAAGTTCTTTTTCAAATGAAGTATTAGAAAATACGAAAATAAGAGAGCAACAATATTTACAAAATAGTGTTGTATATGCTTCGATATATTTAGACCCGCGATATCAGGTTTTATTAAGTAGTGAGCAAAAACAAATGGCTATAGACCTTCTTGAAGATTTATGGCATACCCAAAACTCTATTATTTACAATACATTGGTGGTTACAACAATATCTACTGTTTGTAGCGATAACAATGATAATGATAACGATATTGATGATCTGGAAATTTTAGTATTAGATAGAGAAAAAAAAATTAAATTATCATCTGATAGAAAGGAGCAAAAAATATCTATTGTATCTTTAATAGAAAAGTTCTCGGAAGTTATGAGAATAAATAGAGATGCAAACATTTTAAAATTCTGGGAGGAAAATTCTTCAATATATCCAGAATTATATACCTTTTCTAGAATCGTCATGGCTGTACCGGCGACACAAGTACAATAATTTATGTATTATAAAAATGACTATCTATTTTAGGTAAGCGTAGAACGTGGATTTTCATCGTTGACTAATTTACGTGGAAATCTGAAGTATGATATTTTAGAAGATATCATGATTGTGCGATTGAATAAAAAATTTAAAATATAAATTATCTCATTTCGAATTATAAATGTGTATATATTGAAGTATAATAAAAAATGAATGAAAAAAGTCTTATTTTGAGTAATTATTTTTATGTTTCCTCTGAACCCGGACCCGAACCCTGGACCCGGGTCCTTTTTAAATTTATTACCGGACCCGAACCCGGACCCTTTTTTTTGTCGAAGGGTTCACATCCCTGATATAAAGAAAATATAAGTGTCAAATGCGTCCTATCTTCATGATAATTAGATGTAACCATAGTTTATAGATATATATTTTTATATTATAACACGTCAATCATAGTGTTTTTATATATATAGTTTATATATATAGAAAGAAAAAAAATAAATTATTATTAAATTTTTGGTAAATTTATTTCGAAAATGATTATTGTATTTTTTGATTAAATAAAGAAAGAAGTTCTCGTCTTATAATTTTATCTATTTCGATATAACTTTAGAACGTCTTTGAGGTACGCAATTTTGGGTAGTATTTAATTTGAGTAAATAAAATTAAGGGGGAAAGAAAGGGGTTTTTATAAAATGGTATGACAATAAGTTTGTGCAAGTCATCTCATATAAAAGATGGTCACTAAGTAGCAAAAAATATATTGAGTGCCAAAACCAAATATATTAAAAATTAAGGATATACCGATATTTTTTATCGGATCGGGCCGATAATTCACCTATTTTAAAATATCGGTTATCGGATAATATAAAATTTTCCGAACCTATATAAAATGGCATCTTTAACAAAAATAAAATGTTATAAAATTTTTAAAAAAAGTTATGTCTAAAATAATTTATTTTTATAAATAAAATCGAAGTCCATTTTTATGTATATTTTTTTAATAATAATAATTAATTAATAAACATTCTGCCATATTATTATTTATTTAAGCATTCTGTTTATAAAAGTGTGCAATAATCTCTTCGGAATCAGTTTTTAATGAAGCTGGTGATATTGACAGTTACCATCGCCACAGGCTGACCTCTGATAAATTGGAAATTTTGGTATTTCTAAAAATAAATCTTTAATATATTAATGTTAAATATTATTTTAAATATTATTTCAAATTTCATATATATTTAGATTAATATATTACATATTATATAAAAGTGATTTAACAATAAAAATATTTTATATACTTTTAGAATTGCAATTGAATTTATAAACTATAACTGATCATTATAATATATTTAAATGACATAAGTTATGATATAGTTAAATTATAGATGTTATACTAATAAAAAGTATATTAAAAATTAAAACCATTGGTATCTTTCGGATCGGTAATCGACCGATATCAATTTAATATTGAAAATATCGGATCGGCCTCCAAAAAGTGGTATCGGCACACCCCTATTAAAAATATATAATGAAGGTATGGTAGGAGTCAATTTACATGATATGCTAGTTGAGTGCTATCGAGTAAATGTAAAAAGGTTCTACTTGTGAATCATTTTTCATCTCATTGATAGTGTGTAGTAAATTCATGGCTTTTGTATAGCCGGCAAATATTCCATGAAAAAGAGAATAAATTCATGAATTTATCAAATTTAAAACACATATTGTTCGCATTGTTATCGACAGTCAAAATTAGTAAAAGAAAATAAGGGGGACCTTGAATGAACCAATAATTTTAAAAAAAGTTCTTCTATAATGACTCTTATTAACAGATATGACAACATTGGTCATTGGTCAGATGCCTGTGAAACGAGGCAAAGATGCAAGTTATGTATAAATACATATTCCAGAATGTGCAAATTCTATTATATATTTATTTTTAATCAATATAAAAATTGTTTTCGAGATTTTCATAGTAAATAGATATTTGTATTTTTTTTGTTTTACAGTATGCCTGATGATGTCAAATTGCATCATCATTTTTTTTACCTGTGTATTTAAAAATAAAAATTGGAAAACATTTTGGGCATCTATGGAGTGTATAAATGAATTTTTTTTCTAATTATTAAAAAGTTGGGCGTAAAAGGTTTAAATTATTTTTTAAATGCAGAGTCAGGGTTCTAAATCCTTTAAAGTTTTTAATACATTTACCTCGAGCTCAGGATATTTTCCAACTCTAATTCAGGCCAGAAGGTTCAAAAAGTCAAACTGGGATATACAGATAATTTGTAAGAAAGAAGTTTTAATCTAATTGTTTTCCTTATTTTAAAAAAATAAATAAAATTCATAATCCTCTGGATAAGTCTTTTCACTTAATCCCATAATAAACATAGATACCGTCTTTTAAGTTGAAGATTTGCATTATCAATTTTTTTATAGCCTTAAAATCGTTATATTTTATATAATATTCGATTAAATAGATTAGATAAAATATAGTTAGAAAACTTAAACTCTTAATATGTGAAATATTTCAAGAGATCTAAAGGTTAATAAAACATTTTATATTAATCTATGGTAAATAAACGGTGTTTAATGAGTCTATAATCAAATAAAAATTAAGTAACAACGTTTTATTAAAAAATTATGATTTAGTGGATTTCAGCGTCCTAAAAATTTTCGAACTCGGTAATAAGGTTTCTTGCTGAGCAGAGTTCGATCCAGAACCCTGGTGGAACTTGTGATAAAAACTTTATCCCCAAGTACTCTAGTAATGAAATAATATCAACGAATTTATAATGGCATTTGTCATAAGCTCAAAATGACGATGGACGAGACGAGACAAGACAACATTCTCAATAGGAATTTTGAAAATTATTTCATGTTATTATAATAAAAATATCTTACAAAACTAAATTATTAAATATAGTAAATATGTAAAATTTTGAAACTTGATTCGGTGGTTTATAAGAATTAAAGGCCTGGTTTTTGACGTCCAATTGAGTTAAGAGAAAATCTGTATATGAAAATTATGATATTCACGACAATAAATGATAGATTTTTCATATGAAATGTTAAAGTGAAAAAAATAAATTTGTTACTATTTTAGTTAAAAAAAATTAATTTTCTTTTTTCTCACAATATTTTAGACATTGCATTATGAACTATCTTTATTAAAGAAAGGAATTTTTAAAATGATAACAAAAATATTAATCTCAAACTGAATTCTCAAATATATCGAAATTTTAAAGAATATTTTCAAACATGTGTTGGATTCATTATAACATAATAAAAAATTTATTTATTTCGGTTAGTTAAAATAAAATAACTATAAATAAATGGTATTTTATTCTATCAGAGATAATTTTTTATATAATTATAAAAAATAACATTTTAGAGTATTTGACTTTTTTTGACCGGTCAAATAAATTCGTCAATTTACAGTATTTAACCAGTCAATTAAAAGAAAATGAAAATATTTATATGAGAAAATGCGATAAAATTTCTCATATATAAAAGGTTTTGCCTTTTTTAAATTTCTACTTTTATTGCAAATAAGTGAAATATTATATTCAGTGATATCGTATTTATTATCTGCAAGCAATGGATAGCTACAAATTGTACAAACCTTGTAACTATCACTGAATCAACCTCAAATATTATAGAAACTCTTTTTGAAGAATTAAATATTTTACCATTTATAACAACGCAGCAAATAATATAATTCTATTAAAATTAATTTAAATAGAGAGTATATCGTTCAGTTATGCTGAAAATTATGCCCTTGTTCAAGATGAAGTGCAAGGATCATACTGGAATAAAGCGCAGGTTACATTCACTTTGTGATTTATTACAAGTCATTTAATAATTTAAATCATTTAAGTTACGTAATAATATCGGAATCACTTATTGATAATAGAATTGTCGTTCATTTACTCCAAAAATATTTAGTCCGCTCTCAACAAAGAAATTTCTAAGCTGCCCAAAATTCTACTTTTCAGATGGAACAACATCACAATATATGAATCACAAAATTTTAATCGATCTTTTCCACCATGAAGATGATTTCAGAATAAAAACTGTGGAATTTCTCGGCCACATCTTATAAACAATCGGTTTGTATCGTAGTCGGAAGTATGGTCAAACATTTAGGTCAGGGCTAGTTTATTTAGATAGATTAAAATTATGGAATGAATTTGATTAACATACGAAGGATATTTAATATTGGAAATTTAATCCATAATTAAGATCTCTAAGGGACATTTGTCCTTATTGCTCCTTGGTTTAATTGGCACATTTAAGAGAAATTTGAAATATTAAAGTGAAAATATACTGTTATTGGTAAGTTAACAATAAAATTTTTACTATAATCTTAAGTTTCATATAGCGCCATCTATTTTTGGCAAAATATTTTAATTTTTGGCAAAATGCATATTTCAGAAGAGTCTAATTATCTAAATAAAAGGCAAAAAAATTTCGAAAACCGAATTCCCTTATTGCTTAAAAATACATGTAAAGCAATATAGCTGAACCGGAAATAAAAGACTCAAATTGTAGCCAATTTTTTCGATAGAAATTTAGAGATTTTTTTTACCTATCATATGATTAGGGCTGTGCCGTTAAATATCGGAGCACTGATATTTAGCGTTTTCCAAAAATATTGGATACACACGATCTGATCTTGTTAATTTTCTTTTTTTTTGTTATTTTATGTATATTTATTTTACATTAATAAAATTTCTAAATAATTTTTTTTAAAACAATGCAAATGCACAACACACCTAAATTTTATTTTATTTATTTTATAAAATAGATTTATAGTATATTTTAAAAATTTTTTTATAAAAATAGAAAGGAACACCCAAAGTTTTTTTATTTTAAATCTTTTTAAATAACGCCAATTTTACTATTTATACCTCAAATAAAAGAATTTTTTTAAATATGGCATCTGAATTATGGAAATATTTTACAAAAGACAAAAAAATTTCAAAATGCGTTATCTGCGGAATTCTAATTTCACGGGGAGGGATAATGAAAAATTCATGTAATACTACCAATATCCGTAAAAGGAGGGTGGTGAAAAATCAATATAAATATCGGATCAGCTTTGAACCAATATTGGATGGGATCGGTGAAAAATACGTGGATCGGCACAGCCCTACATATGATATATTATATTTATTTTTACTATAAATGGTTTTTGAGATATAAGCATTTTAAAAATTTTACAGATTCGGAAGCCGATATTTTTATCTTTGAGTCTGTATCTCCGGAATCAGGTGTGCTAACGAATAAAAGTCTTTCTTATTTTTTTACTTATCTAAATAATTCAACAAATTTTTAAAAATAAGGTGTGGAATGGCCCCAAAATTCTTCTGATACAAATAGTGTACATTCGTTATAGTCCTTGGTTCACCGAAAGATAATAGGTCAAATTAATTTGAATATCGGTACTTCAACAGTATAGAGATCAATTGGATCTGCGTACATGCATCTTTGCATTCATCGCTATTCATGCTCTTTGTTCGCTTAAAATTAGGAATCTTTTCACTTAAATTTGAAGCCATTTTTATGGTTTTATTATTTTGAATGAATTATGAAAGTTATAAAAGATATAGAAGACTTAGCATCTTAAATTATTTTCATAAATGTTTAGTTTGAAGATATAGTGAGAGATTCTTGGTTATTTCAAAAATTTCCAAAAAAATTATAGCTGATTTAACTTTTTAAATTTTAACTGATCATAGATTTATCTTCTGATGAGGATTTCTCCTCAAGCCAAATGATTTATCTGTAAGGTTATGTCTTCACAGGCAATTAAAAAAATGCAAGAAAAATAATCTATTTTTATATATGTGCGTAATAAGATGAGTGAATATTTGCTAATAGTGCGCCCAAATTGAACGTTTCAACGCAGCGTTTCAAAACGCATATAAAAACAAGTAAAGGCAGCTGTGTTTAAATTGAAGCGTTAAGTGTTATTTTTTCAATATGAAACGTCTAAATTTAAAACAAAAAAAATGCTTGCCTTATTTTACTTAAAAGAAATAAAGGAAGGAGGTGCAAGACATCTCAAATATATGTTAAAAGAAAATTTTTTTTCTGAAGTATCTTCATATAAAAAAGGATTTGATAAATTCCCAATTTTATAATTGTACAAGAATGAGAATATCAACCTTTTCATATATTCTCTGGCTAATATATGATGATATTAATCCAAAAATTACTAATTGTAACAAGCAAATTAATGCTAAAGGCAGATTGTTTGTTACCTTGAGGTAAAATAAATTTAATTCATTAGTAATTATTTATATGAAAGGTATTTAATTACTTGCACAATTAAAAGGAGTTTTGGGAGATTTGTTAAAAAATTTGAGCTTCTGAGTAGGCCAATAGAAATTGGCCCAGCTAGCATAGAAGTTGTGATACATAATCATCAACAAAGAATGATCAGCTTCTATTGATGATACAGGTACTACAAATATTCAAATATAAAATTATTAAACATATTATTTTTTTTATATTTTTAAAATTATGTAATCATCAAAATTATACAGATACAACAATGGTAAGCCTTACTACAGGGACACTCTTGCTAGCAGAGATAATAATTCTTCTTCAGTGGAATCAAAAATTCTTAGAGACAAATTTAAAAATTTATATTGTAATAAATTTATTTATGAAAATATTTTATATTAAATTGTTTTACATAATTAATTTTTGTACACACTTATTTTATTAATTTATATAAATAAATTATTTGAATGTTAAGAAAAATTTAATTGATATATCACTTAATTTCTATTAAATGTTAATTTGGACACCAATAAACTTAGTTATTGTTATGTTTATTACAATATCTTGTTATATCTTATAATACTACATCTAAGCTTCCCCACATTGTTTGTCACATTTTGCCCCCTTTGTCCATCATAAATCTTTATTTTGTTTTACACGATTTGTAAATAAAAAACAAAGCTTGTTTTTATATTTTATTCACTTGAAACTGGTCCTAGCCAGTTTTATGGATGGCCAATATGTATAATATCTTTATAAAAATATGTCGATGGATTTTTTTTGTCAACAAAATTTTTAGTATATAAGAAGAGTAAAATATGTAATCGCGATCATTAAGCATTTATGATTTTTGTATATTGTTTTTTAGTCGAATTGAATTGTACATAATTCTCGAGTGCGGTCCCCTAGTCCCTCTCTCTGACAATCCCGGACCATCGAAGGCCGTCGATCCCTCCCCCTCCCCGATGGTTGAAGAGCCAACGATCTTAGCTCCAACTATTTCAGTTATTAAATGATATAAATAAATTACTATTTGAATGTTAAGAAAAATTTAATTTATATATCACTTAACTTATATTAAATGTGAAAATAGACACTATATAAATATATAAAAATTTTATTAATTGTAAGAATATATACAAAAATATCAATATAAAAATAATAATAATATGTAAATATAAAATACATAAATATCACATGTAAATATAATAAGAAAAATATCACTATTACATTTAAAATACAAAAATCAATTATATATATTTTTATAATAAATAAATAATTTATATATTAAATATATCTAATGTAGATTCATAAGCAGGTGTTGGTTAGGTATCATTTGTCTTTGACAATGTATAAATTATAAAACCTCATTTTTAAACAATAGTTGATTGTCTAAACTTAAGTTTCTACATCCTCTACAAGGCTTTCCATAAAAAGTCTATATAAAATATTAATAAATTATATATAAAAATAAGATTTTACTGCATCTTAGATGACTTATCTTCCAATACATTTAATAATCTATAAATATCATTAGACACTTTAGGATTTATTGTGTAGGGAGACACATCTAAATTGCTTGATGTTGCCTATCTGCAACAGTCTTTTGCATAAAATTTATAATATTTCTTATATTTATATTCGTGTTTTCCTCCTTTAGAACCTGATTTGTTCAATTGATCTTTCAATCTTTTCTTTAGATATAAAGTACTGGTATCA